GTGTGTGTGTGTGTGTGTGTGTGGCGTATACACACCCTACATATTACGTATACACATAATATACGTATGCATATTAGATAACACGACATTATATTAACACTGAATACTAGATGTCACATATCAATACTACTTAAACTCAAGTCCTCACAAAGGCAACTGACAACCTTCGAGACAGCCACAGACCCCTTAGAATTGACCCCGTCCATCTGCCCTGCCTTTGCCCGGGCCGTTCCCCCGCAGTTGGGTTCCAAGACAAAACATCCCTCTCTTCTCTAGGAAGCGGAAGTCACTCCAAACGCGACCGGGACGCAGGAGACCCAGACAGCAAGGCCGCGGTCGCCAGGCTCAGCCACAGGGCATGCGCGTACGTCCTCGGCGCGTGCCCGGGTATCCCCGGCGCGTGCGCGGCACTCCCCCGCCGGCGTGCGGCCGGGTGTGGGTACTCACGGCGTGGCGCGGCGCATATCCCGCCGCTGTCCGGACGCACAGGCCTGGGCCACCACAGGACCGCGTGAGCGTCTCTGGGCGCGGGACCCCGGCGCGGGCCTGGGCCGGACTCAGCGACACCGTCCGGGGCAGCAGGCCGGCGGCTGCTTGGCGCCCGAGCGTCCACATGCTGCTGCGATCTGCGGTCGCTCCGCCCTTCGTGGGGATGCTGCGGCGACACCTGGTGGCCACGGGCCGCGGGCGCCCCGGCTGGGCTCCCGCGCTAGGTTCTCTCTTTTGGGGGGAAACTGCTAGAGAGAGACCAGAAAGAACTTCCTAACATTGCACTATGCTTGAACGAAAACGTAGAGCCCTATTTGTGCAAAGCACAGAGCTCACCCTTTGGCCGCACCAGGGATGTGTTTACTGAGGTCCTGACCTCAGGGATGCTGGCCTGGTACCCGGCCTTGCAGAACTGCAGGCGTTGTGTGGTGCAGGCTTTGGTACTGCTGGGCTGCCCACATCGGGTCACCTCCGTTAGTGTGTGCTGCGCATATCCCGATTCTGCCCACTTACTAGCAAGGTGACCAGTAGTAAAGTTAACCTCTCTTCCTCCTCTGTAAAGTGGAGTTCATAAGTTTCTACTTCATAGGGTGGTTGTGGGGCTAAAATCAGTCCGTCCTTGTAAAATTTTTGCAATGTGGACTGGACCCTGGTAAGTGCATAATAAATGCTAGGTACTGTTCGATACATTTTTAATCTTTATTATTGCAGATTATGATACAGTAATGGGTTTCATTCTGGCATTTCCATCCCTGTGTGTAACCTACTTCGATCTTATCTCCTTAGTCTGGCTTACTTAGTTTACATTATGATCTCCAGTTTCATCGGTTTTCCTGCAAATGACATGATTTTGTCCTGCTTTAAGGCTCTATTGTGTAAACACACCACATTTTCTTTACTCACCTGCCAGTGGGCACCTAGATTGCTTCCATAGCTTAACTACTGTGAATTAAACTGTGGTAAACACGGGTAGGCAGATTTCCCAGTACTATCCTCACTCCACTTCTTTCTGATATGTACTTAGGAGTGGTAGAGCTGGGTCACGTGGTAGTTCTATTTTTAGTTTTTTTGAGGACCCTCCATACTGATTTCCATGTTCTACAGTGGCTGGACTAATTTACATTCTGACCAACAATGTGTAAGGGTTCCTCTGGCCACCCCCTTCTGCCCAGCATTAAAATTTTTTGTTTGTTTTATTGTTTGGGACAGGTTCTGTGTTGCCTAGTCTGTGCTCAAACTTCTCCAACCTCCAGCCTCAGCCTCCTGAGTGTTGGAATTACAGGCGTGAGGCACCATACCCAGCAGCCTGTGTCTACATCTTGAAGCATTTCCCCTATGTTTTCTTCCAGCAGTTTCAAAGTTTCAGGTTTAACATTTAGGTTTTTAATCTGTTTTGAGTTGATATTTTGTACAGAGTGAGAGGGATCTGGTTTCCATCTTCTACAGTGGATAACAAGTTTTCTCTTGGTTAACAGATTTTAAAAGAAAATTTTACTTGTATGTTGCAACGGAATATAATTAGTGAGCATTTACTTCACATTTTATGCATACTTTGTATGGGGAAGGAAGTGAGTAGGTGAGAATGTGCTGAAGTCTTTCCTCTAGAACTCAATTCCGATGTCATATGTCACCTCCAGAATTCTTCATGAAACCAAACTTCTGTGTCCCCACAGCATGTCTTAGGTACCTCCTTGTGTGTTTCTACAGCCTGTAATAGAGTTGCTAGTTGTCTTATTTGTCTAACATCTCTGACACATAAGAGACACTGTACTGAAAAATCAGTTAAAAATGAAAGAATGAATGATGTTCTTCTTTGTTGACCCCCTGCCTCTTCAACGGTGATGTCCTCATCTTGTGGCTCACTGCTCAGGAATGGTATGGAATTAGTTGATACTAACCAATAAAGGTTTTCAGAGTAACTTCCCCTGGGAGACATTTGTTTGCATGTTACTTGGTGTCTCAAACCTTTAAAGGCCCAAAGAATGGATTTTTTTTCCCCAAAGGATGGATTTAAAAAATCTTATGCCCAGACCCAACATTTCTCCTGCCTTTGCCATCTCAGTAAGTGACATCTTCAAGCACAAAGTGGTTCTCGCCAATAACCTGGGTGTCACCCTATTTTTTTTCCTCACTGCCCAGAATGACCGCACCAGTGAGTTCCAAATTAACTCCAAACTATGTGGTGACTGGCTCAGTTTCTCTGTGTCCACTTCTGTGGGCTAAGGTTATTTCTCTAACTGGGGAGCTAGAATAGCCTGGGAAGTGGTCTCCTCGTCCTTTACACTGAAGGTGCTGTGATTTCTGCTAACTGTAATTTGTGGGAGGCCACTGTCTGGGCCCGAGCTCCTGCACCATGCTTCAACAGCCAAAAACCAAACTGTAATGGAGTCATCTGTGCTAGATGCCACGGAATCAAACAATTTCAATACCGGCCAGTTTCCCCTAAAGTAGGAGATTCATAGCAACCAGTCATGGTGGGGGTCCAGGCTACCTTAGCTAGCATGGTGAGGAAGACCCCTCTGTTTTAACCATATATGGAAAGTAACTTGAACTGATGAATCTGGGCCCCCCCCCGCCCCCCCCGCCCCGTTTAGCCCCTTTCTGCCTATAAAGCCAGTCCCTCTTAGCTCAGTGGTGCAGACTTCTGTTCAATAGATGGGACACTGTCTGGTTCATGGGTTGCGAAAAAGAGCCATGTAGATCTTTTTTTTTTTGGTACCAGCGATCAAACTCAGGACCTTGTGCTTGCCAGGTAGGCGCAGTACCACTGAGCTACATCCCTGGCAACCAGTTAGATCTTAAATTCAATCCCAAGGTTATTCACTCAACAAGCATTTACTGAGTGCCAGTGTCTAATTCTAGTACTGAAGCATACACTGATGAACAGAACGAAAGAGATCCTTGCTCTCGTAGAACTTACTACACTCTAAGATCTCCTATGGCCTGATACTTTCAAATTCCATGTAACTTAGGGCTGGGAACGATCTGGCTGAGTTTTGATTAGATGAGGGAATGAGGAATGATTTGGATTGACCACTGGTCTGGCTATCAGCTTCATTTCCCACAGCCCTTGCTTTTTCTCAGGTTACTTGGCAGCTGTCTTCCTGCGCGTGTTTGAGCGGAGGTCAGCCCGACCCTGCGTGGTGTCTGGGGTTGTCACTGCAGTTTCTCAGGCTGAGCGCCCGTCAAGATTGAGGTCAGATAACTGCCTTGGGAGCTGTCTGCTCAGGGTCTGAGAAGGGATGGGGATGAGGGCAGCCCAGGTGGTGACAGTGTCCATGGGGCGCCACCTACCAGTGATAACATTTCTTCTGATTCCCACAGAAACCTTTCTGTAACCTTCTTGCTGTAGAATAAAACCATTCTCCTTGGGTCTAAGGGAAGTCTATGTGCATAGGTGGGATAGCAGCAAGTGCTAATTCAATCCTTTTTGGTCTGCATCTAGTTTTCGAGGAGGAAATGGAGGCCCCAAGAATTGAAGTGATTGCCCAGAAGTAAAGTGGAGGTAGAAGCCAGGCCTCCTCTCCTGATTGTTGGTGGCGTGTTCTTCCCTACAGTTTTAGATGCCAATTCTCTAGCTTTTGGAGCTCAGGTCCCGGGGTATAGGGCTCTAACCGGCTCTGCTAGCAGTCACTGTTGCTAAGGGGATGGGGTAAAGAGGTCAGTGTCCTGGTTCATTTTGGGGTGCTATAACATAATACTTGAGCCTAGGTAATTTATAAAGAACAGAAATTTGTTTCTTACATTTCTTGAGGCTGGAAAACTGAGATCAAGGTACTAACAGATTTGCTCTCTAGTGAGGGTCTGGTGGCCTGGTCTCTGCTTCCAAGATGGCACCTTGAACACAATCCTCGGGAGGCTCAGAATGCTAGTTCTCTAGTGGCAGGAGGAAGACAATGACAAATGCACACCCATAGCCCATTTAATAGAGAGGGTGCTGCCCTCAGGACCTGAGCACCTCTCAGAAAGCTCACCTCTTCCAACTCTGTTGTTGCACTGGGGATTCAACTTTCAGCATGAAATTTGGAGGGGACAAAGGCATTCACACCATGGATACCAGCTCAGGGGACAGAGCATACTACCTGATGAAGAGGGATAGGAAAGCTTCCAGGATGCCCTGGAACGAGAGCTATTCCAGTCCCCCAGACATAATACAGTCCCAGATCTGCAAATTCTCACTCATTCCTGCTTGGCTGTGGGGTGCAGTTCAGTCCTCTGACTCTGAGCCTGAAGGCTTAATTTCCCGAGGGGAAGGGATTTCCACTCCAGGGAAGAGCAAGCCCACTGCATTTACTTGGATTGATGAGAAGAGAGATTATCTGGGATGCTCTTCCCTGACATTTCCTGGGGGCAGGAAATGTAATGAGGGATGGGAAACATCAGTGAGTCCCAGGAGACTGAGTATAGCACCAGAGCCGGAATCCAAACTCTGCAGTCCAATCTGAACATTGCCTTGAGCTCACTGTAGGTTAAGTTCCTAGGATAGCCAGCAAATTAATTGATCAATACTTCCAAAATGTTTTCGACAATAAACATGAAATATATAAATAATTTAAATAAAGTGCTAATTGTTGAAACTTTCAGTGGTCAGAAAATATGAAGTTTGGGGGTTATTTCCTGGGAATGACCATCTTGGGGCCATAGATGATGAGTTTGATCCTTGTTCTGACAGATTGAGAGCTTCAGGTAGGGAATGCAGTTCTACAAAATTCTTCTTGTGGGCCAGGATGCAGCTCAGTGGTGCTGTGGCTGCCTGGCAAGTGCAAGGTCCTGAGTTCAATCCCTGGTACTGGAAAAAAACCAAAAAACAAAACAAAACAAACCTCTTCTTGGTCCCTCTACTCTGGGAGGCTCAGGAAGGAGGATCAGTAGTTTGAGCCCAGCTTGGGGAACTTAGTGACCAAGTGAGAACTTTTCTATAAATAAATAAATAAATAAATAAATAAGCTCAGTGCAAAGACCCTAGGTTCAATCCCCATTATTGCAAAACAAAACACACACACAAACACACACACGTGTACACATGCACGCATAGAGCTCTTCATGGGAAGTGTTTAAATCAACAAGAGGAAAGAAGGATGTAGTGTATCTGAAATGTCTTTTTTTTTTTTCAGTGCTAAGAATCAAATCCGAGACCTCACATGCACTAGTACTGAGGTACACCCTAG